AAATTCCCACAATGTTTAACTAGCTACATGTACGTCCACGCGTGTGGCAAACAAAGTTAATTTACAGTAGAACTCTAACCAACAAAACACATCTCTACAGTACAACAGTCTTTCTCACGTCTATTTTGGCACATATGTGGCACATACTTCTCTTGAGTTAAAAAGACCAGCGATGGTCTAACCCATGTGATACAACCCCTTGGTCCTGGGGCCTATAGTGGTTCAGATATGGTCAGAACAGAACTTGCAATACAGCCAACAGCTAATATACCACCAGCATTATCTGATGATAGGAAGTAGGTCTAATTAGCCAACTTAAGACATTGTTTGTATGTGGGTGGCACAACAATGTTGTGAAACTGAGTTTTATAAATAACCAAAATCGCTGCTGCTGCCAACTTGCCCACCACTGGTGCCCCTGATCAGAGTAGAGCCGAGCGCCAGTCTGGCTGAATGGGTACACGATGTGGCAACAGCCAACCAACCATTCCCCTTTTGGCACGAGGACCTCTCCTTCCCCTAGCGTGAAAGACTAATCTACTTGGCTTGGCACACCGTCTTTTAACCCTGACACACCTGCATCCGCTTATTGCTACTCTATCACTGTTACCTCTACCATGACCTACTGTCCATAGCATTAGACTCTCTGTAACACTTTACTTAAAGAGGCTGTACAGAACGTTGACCTCTGGGGGTGATCCTGAGTCAAAAGGCATCCCCTAAATGGACAAAAATATTGCCCAGAAATGACCTCATCAGACAGAAAGGAGCACACCTCCCCACACCCATGAGGGAAAGCATATTGTCAGCCTAAAACTAAAGGGTGTGTGGTTTCATGAGTTAAGAAATGTATTGTGATATCATTATAATTGATTATCTATTGATTGCTAACACTAACGCCAAACTTTGAGGTAAACAATAAGAAATTAAACTTCCATACAGCCTCTTCATGCTTTATAACATGGTTATAATGCATTGTAAGACTTGTCATAATCATGTATAATGTCTTGTTATTATCATCTCAAAATGATCCTGAATAAATTACAGTCATTATGAGTAACTTGAAAATGTCCTTCATAGAGACATAACCTATTTTAAGCCTTATAACAATAAATTAGAAACTAAAAGGTTCATAGTGTTTATAGCAAGTAATAAATCATTATACCTGTCAACGTTAAGTAAACCATTAGCGAAAACCATCTATCATACAACTACTATTTCAGCCTTAGCCTGCAACACAACACAATAGAAGGACATATGTCACACATCATTTAAATGGCGCTTTCGTCATTTGATCCTACAAATGATCGTCAATACTAAAAGCATATTGTCATGAATAGTGGGTGTCACTCATCAGTACCTGTAAAGTGACCATTTCAAATCTCTTGATATGATTCTGATGTGATGTGCAATAGTGTAAACATGCTGATTCTTAAACACTACCGTTTGTTTCCCACACTGAAGAAAGAAAGAATAAAGAACTATAGAATAGTAACAATAGAAAAACAATACAAGGCCATGGACATATAATTTAAAAAGATCTAAGACACATTAATTATACTGAACAAAAATATAAACGCAACATGTAAAGTGTTGGTCCCATGTTTCATGAGTTGAAATAAAATATCCCAGAAATGTTCCATACGCACAAAAAGCTTATTTCTCTCTCTGTTTACATCCCTGTTAGTGATCATTTCTCCTTTGCCAAGATAATCCATCCACCTGACAGGTGTGGCATATCAAGAAGCTGATTAAACAGCATGATCATTACACAGGTGCACCTTGTGCTGGGGACAATAAAAGGCCACTCAATGTCACAGATGTCTCAAGTTTTAAGGGAGCATGCAATTGGCATGTTGACTGTGGGAATGTCCACCAGAGATGTTGCCAGAGAATGTAATGATAATTTCTGTACCATAAGCCGCCTCCAATGTTGTTTTAGAGAATTTGGCAGTATGTCCAACCTGCCTCACAACCGCAGACCACGTGTAACTACACCAGCCCAGGACCTCCACATCCGACTTCTTCACCTGTGGGATTGTCTGAGACCAGTCACCCGGACAGCTGTTGAAACTGAGGAGTATTTCTGTCTGTAATAATGCGCTTTTGTGGGCTCCCCAGTGGGTGGGCCTGGCTCCCAAGTGGGTGGGCCTTTGCCCTTCCAGGCTCATTGTAAGTGGGAGGAGCTATAGGAGGACAGGCTCATTGTAATGGTTGAAATTGAATAAATGGAATGGTATCAAACACATCAAACATCTGGAAACCACGTTTGACTCCGTTCCATTATTCCATTTCAGCCCGTCCTCCTATAGCTCCTCCCACCAGCCTCCACTGATTTAAATTGACTGATCTCCATATATGAACAGTAACTCAGTAAAATCGTTGAAATTATTGCATGTTGCATTTATATTTTTGTTCAGTATAATTAAATACATTCATAAATACACAAACAAATGTGACAATACAAGTTTTGAAAAATTGACAAATGCCATTGTTGTTCAAGTAATGAAAAAAAAGGTGCTGGAAAAAACACAAGTAAACGAGTAAAAGGGCTTAATGTTTGATAGACAGAGAGATTGGTCAAAGCTCTCCGCATTACATTCAAAAAAGAGATGTATTGGGAATGGTTCACAACTGACGTAGGATCTGTCATTGTTTCTCAACTGATCCTCTCGACGATGCTGTCAACAACATATGACTAAAAAAAGACGTAGACAGACATACTATCAGATCCTGCTCTACAAAAGTCTCTGCAATCATATTCCACTTTTGAAAAGATACTCAACATGATGACATAGCGTATGGGGCTTGTATCTCTTCTATCTCCAACGCTTGCCACTGTCAAAGATCAAGATAATTATCCTGTGGAAAGCAGGTCAAAAGAGCACGACATGAGCTACGTGAGAAGATATGCTAACAGTTTGTACCAGTGATGGTTCTGTATGATGTCATAGTCTCTCTCTGTCTTGGCAAGACAAAAAGCCACACTTTCCCACCACCATTTCAAATAGCACTGTTTACAGTGATGCTAATCCAAAATGTCTGTGTTTATGTCTGGAACAGTATAGAGTCACAACAGAGTCAGAGGCTATGGACGGGTTGTTTTTGGCAGGAGTCGACAGACTGATTTCCTCCCGCTCTTCTCTCCATCCGTCACTCTCTCTCTTCTTCCAGTCATCCCTATATCCAGCCAAGCCCGTGAGCCTGTCAGAACAGGGCGAGGTGCATGGTGTGTCCAAAGGCACAGACATAACACACGCACAAATGTATGTACGCAAATATGCACACACACCCAACCCACACACAGACACACACACACAGACACACACACAACTGATTTACGCAGACAGAGGGACACCAGCTACTGTCTCTTGGGTCACATGATTGAAAGGCCCACAAGTCGAAGGCCCAGGTCACATGAAAGGAGTCCCAGGAATCAAGAAGCGTCAGGCAGTGGCGTTACCTTAGAGAAGACCGATTGACGTGGCATTGTGGCGACTGGTGCCGGCAAGAGAGAGAGAGAGAGAAGGGAAAGCCAGATCTGTCTTTGGTCCCGTAAAGCACTTGATTATGGCAGGCGGAGCTCCACAGTCACTCAATTGGGGCATATCAAAAGCGCTGGTTGCTAAGCTACGAGTGTGTGTGTGTGTGCATAAAGGGGAAAGTGGGATGCGCAATGCAGGCAGTCTTTTTTAGCCATGCTAAACTCGATATCGTCCATTGCAACCGGTAGAAGCATAGTCCGAGGGGACAGGAGTGGGAAGAGGAAGAGGAAAGGGGGATGGATGGGATGGAGGAGGGAGGAGGCAAGGCTACACTCACATTAACACCAGCAGCCTCCCACGGGAGGGCATGGGTGCTGTTGGCTTCACTTTCTTGGGAGTTGGCTTGTTTTGTGGGGACTATAGAAAGTGGATGATAGACAGAAGTTGTATCCCAAATGACACCCAGTCATTGATGGGAGAAACAGTAAAGGCTGATAATATAGCCTTTCTGGGACTAAATGGGGCTGCGACATCAGTCAAGTGACGGAGTAAAAAACACTCAGCGAATATGATGGATAGAGGTGGTCCCAGTATACCACCCAATACCATGACCCCCCTCCCACCCGACATATGGCTGGTCCTAAAAGGACACAGGGTCCTAAAGAGACCCACTCAGCCTTAAGGCGATGCATAGCCCTTAGTGACACTGGGAGATGTATGAGGAGTGCAGGCGCATGTTAAAAGGTATGTGTGTGTGGGAGAGTAGAGAGATAAGAGTGTGTGCTCGTTTCCGAAATCTGTCTTGCCTACTACTTACTAAAACTAAATACTGTGTACTAATCATGCTACATACTATTTAGAACGTAGTGTTTAGTATATGTATACAGTAAGCAACATATCAGCATAATAGACTCACCCATAGTGAGAATGCGTAATCTAATCAGTTAGTTCCCACCATTTGTTCATTTTGGTACAGCCCGTCCTCTTCTCTGATTATTAGCTTATTATCAGCTGTTGTCAATCACACGTGGGTCTGAAATTATGCTTATCTTTCTCAATAGTGTGCAGTGAATTCTACTAGATGAAAAAATTAAATCAGTATGGCATCCTGGCAATTAAAGCATACTATGAAACTTTCAATCGCATACTCAGCCTACTATTTAGAACGCAACTACAGGTATTCAGACAGCCTGTGTGTGTGTGTGTGTGTGTGTGTGTGTGTGTGTGTGTGTGTGAGAGAGAGAGAGAGAGAGAGAGAGAGAGAGAGAGAGAGAGAGAGAGAAATAGAGAGAGAGAGCACGAGAGAGTCAGAGAAAGAGTCAGAAAGAAAGACACCAAGCTGTGTATGTATATGTTTACAGGGGTGTCGGGTCGGGTGGAGCTAGATCCCGGGGTGGGATTAACAGGTTAACTGCCATGCTCGGTTTAGGGCGGGGGTGTGAGGCAAAGGGTTGTCATGATGACAAAGATCAAAGGTAAAGCTCCGACATGGCGAGAGCGGCGACGGAAGTGATGTCATATGTTGATGAGGGTGGTGCAGGTGATGAGGCGCACGGTGACTGTGCCTGGGAGGTCGTTGTCTTGGCGATTGCCTTTGTCACGCAGGTGGAGTGTGTGCTGCTCCTGCCGGTCATTAGGGTCACTGGACAGGGTCACCTGACCCAGGAAGGTATCCACAATCACGTTCTTATTGTAGATCTATTATGGTATGGCCCAAGGTCAGAGCAGAGCAGAGCAGAGGGGAAAGAGAGGGGGGATTTGAAAGAGAAGAAAGAAAAAGAGAGAGAGAACATAGGAAAACAGTGATTAACAAAACAGAAGAAAACATATTCAAGAGATAGAGGGATACATATGAACACAAAGACAGATAAGTAAAAGTTCCTTCCCTCCGTCTGTGCTCACCTCAATGTGGATGCCTTCCTTTGGCTTCTTGCGGTAGAACAGGCCTTTGACGTCGAAGTTGGGGCTCCGTGTGTCCTTGTGCACCGGTGAGCGCACCCGCTCCCCCTCACAGGTGATGATGACGTACGGGTCAGAGGCTAGGAAGGACAGGGAGGGAGGGAAGCGGGACAGCTGTCAATCACTGGGTTGACATGTACTCAACTATGCAGGCCAAAACCAACTCTAGGCCTAGTCTAATAAATAAATAAATAAATAATAATAATAATATGTTGTATTGTCCCTTACACCGGATAGGTGCAGTGAAATGTGTTGTTTTACAAGGTCAGCCATAGTAGTATGCCACCCCTGGAGAGAATTAGGGTTAAGTGCCTTGCTGAAGGGCACATCAACAGATGTTTCACCTTGTCAGCTCGGGTATTCAAACCAGTGACCATTCGATTACTGGCCCAACGTTCTAACCGCTAGGCTATGTGCCACCCTTCTCTGGCCATCAGACCAACCAGCAATCAGACCAGTCTCTGACAGGTAGGTGGAGAAGGGTTTTAGTTGCTTGTGCTAGTAGGTAGGTAGAGGATACAGGGAGGGGGAACTATTGAAGACTATAGGTACTTGCGTAGATCTGAAAGGGAGGGGATAGGTTTCAGCCATATGACAAAAAGTATTCCTAGACCTATCAGAGCGCTAGGAAGAACTACTACCCTATTGCTTATACCTATCCAATCCTCTCAGATCTACATGAAGCTAGGGGTTAGGGGTTGTTTCTGGGCTGAGCCAAAGCCTATTGGACTAACTGTGTAGTATGTCTAGTTGTATCTAAGCCGCTAGCCACTAGGTGGTGCTGAAGTACCTCCTGTTTTGGCCAGGTGCCTCTTCTTGTTGGGAATGAGACAGTGCAGCTCTGTGTATGACCAGAAACGTTTATCTTGCAATGCAATCTGTGGCACACACACATAAACCCATACACACTCACAAAAACATTTTGTTACCCCTAATATAGCTCGGCCCAGTAGTGTGAAAAGGGTATATGCATGTCAGCTCCCAAAGCCTCCCTTCCACATGGGTGCATACTGTCTCTTACTTGACTGTAGGCCTACTATTTCCTACTGTAGCCTTACTAGCTTACCCCCATTAGAGTCCTGGCCCTGGAGTCCCTCTGCACTCAGAATGTGGACCTGGGTGACCAGCTGGGGGTAACCACACATGCCCGTCCAACACGTCTGGGGGGGCTCGTCTAGGTTCAACTCTCTGTGGGGGAAGGAAAGAAAGTGAATATGGGTGTTATTAATTTAGATGAGGGCAATGGCAGTGGATGACAAATTACTTGAAAAAAGTTCTGGGTCCACTTAGAGAATCAGTTTAAATTGATAAAAAAGCTAACATTATTTTACAGAAACCATAAAATTCAACTGGAGTGCATCTTAAAAGGATAGTTAACTTTTTTGAAGTCTTAAAATACGTAAAAAAGTTTAAAAAATGAACTATCCCTTTAACATGCACACCAGTTACATTTGATAGGTTTCTATAAAATTATGTTTTCTTTTTTATCAGTTTGAACTGATTTAAATTAAGCTATCATAGAGAAGAAGAAAAAATACTGTTCTATTTAATGCAACAATCCCATTGAACTATCCCTTTAACGTTGGCTATCCATTTGTAATGGTCAGGAGGTCAGGGGAGTGGGGGTGGGGCTGCATGTCGGCCGGCTGGTTTACTTGCAGTCTGAAGGCACGTCGGTGAAGACCCGCAACAGGAAGTCGCCCTGCTGCCTGGGGTCAAAAGTCGTGGGGATGATGACATAGCGACCCTCCTTGAGCTCCTTCCTGAGGAAGACGCAGCGCGAGTTGATGTAGATGGAGCCCGCCACCTTCTGCTGGGCAGTGTGCATGCGGTACTTTCTGTTCAGCTCCACCTAGAGGATGGGAGGGGACATGACGTCAGGAAAACATTTTAAAGGTAGACTTTAAAGGTAGATATGACATCTTCATGCAGAGACGGACAACTTCCTGCTTTTTATAATTATTTGAAGGATAGAGGCAGAAGCAGGGAGACAGATGTAGGAAGTGGAAATAGGGCTCATGCGGGGATTGAACCAGGATCCTTATGTCTTATCTATTTTATTTTACGTTATGAGTAGAAAGGAAGTGAAGAGAAATGGTTGCTATACGGCAATACCAGGAAGTAAAGAGTTAAGAGGTTAGGATGAGAGGCAAAACATAAAAGGAAACATTCATGTGGAGCGACGGAGTGTTCATCTTCCTGTGTATCCATCTGTTTGTGTCCATCTGGGTGTGTGTATGTCTTCATTGTTTGTGTGTGTGTATGTGTGCGTGTGTACCCGGTGAATGTCAAAGCCTATGGCCAGGTTATCTCCTTTGCCCTCCTTGGTGGTGGCTCTCCTCTCCTTCTGCTGCAGGGCGATCAACACCTCGTCCTCTACCTTCTTCACATCAAACACATACTGCAGAGAGAGACAAACACACACATCAACACACTGATCCGAACACTCTTCCAATCAAATACAGTGCATGCAGAGACATCAACAGAAAAACACATACAAACCTACACAGTACACACACACACACACACCGTCCCACCCAACCTCTCACCATCCACCAACACTCTCCCCACTTCCATCCACCCCCATGCACCCCACCTGTGGGTTCTGGAGGAAGGTGGCCTTGTGGTTGATGCAGCCCCCAGAGCGGTTCCTCAGGGGGTCCTGGCGGGGGACCCAGGAGCCCCTCATCACCTCCTCCTCCCAGGTCTTGTGGATGCTCAGGTAGGAGGTGTTGATGAGGCGGCACAGGATCAGGTCTGTGAAGTACTGGCAGAAGTCATCAAACGTCATCCTGGGGTGGAGAGAGAGGGAGGCAGGGATGGATGGATGGAGGGGGGGCGGGGGGGGGGATATATTTAGGATCTAGGGCCAATTTCCAGGATACAGATTAAGCATAGTCCTGAGCATGCTTTTTAGTCCAGGACTAGGCTTAATCTGTGTGTGGGAAAATGGCCCCTAATGTTCCAATGGTGTGTGTGTGTGTGTGTGTGTGTGTGTGTGTGTGTGCGCAGTGTTCCCCCTCACCAAAACTCTCCGTCGTCCTGCACAGTGACGCCCAGCTTCTCTCTCTCACTCTTGCTCACCTTCTTCCACTCATCTGAGCTGGGGGCACAGACAGGAAATGACCTCATGTTAGACAGCACAACACAAAGGAAATTACAGAGCAAACATAACACTGGGAAAAACATTTGATTGGAGATTGAGCACCACTGAGACAGACAGCAACATAATCTCAATTCCTAAATTCAGCACCACGTGTGTGTGTGTGTGTGTGTGCATGTAAAAATAAACATATATTTTGTTTCAAATCCCTGCCAGTGCCACAACTTCTGTGACAAACTTCCACATCAAACAGTGAAATGGAATCTTCAACTCCAGTTTTGATCAAACCCCAGATAAATTATTCATTAATTCTCATGACTGTATGAATGAAGGGAGACGATACCTTTAATAACACCACTCAGTCACTTCCCCTTTAAGAACTAACATCTCTCTCCTTTACCTAGTCAATAATTCAGCTGCCTTCATGAGCGAGCCCTACAATCTCTGCTGTGTCACACAACCTAGCGACAAACAATAGGATATAACAGAAGGAGAAAGAGATGCTCATCTTCTTCCCATCCTATTACATCACGCTCATTTCAATCTCCTCCATTCTCCTCCAGGGAGGGTTAGGGTGTGTGTCAGTGTGTGTGTGCGTGAGGCTTACATGTTTGAGTGTGCATGTGTGTGTGTGACACAAGAAGCAAGAAGTACACACACACAGTCAGTCAGACACATGCATGCCTGCACGCGCATGGACGGAAACACACACTCAAATACGTCATCCACATGCATGCAAACACGCATGCATGCACACACTGACACACACACACACAAAGCATTCCCCATTTCAGTAGAGGGAGAACACCTCTCTTTCCACCTCAATACTCCTTCATGGTCTAGTCTTTTTGAGGCAGTAAAGGCTCTCCAAAGAGAAGCTTCCATTACGCACACTGACTGCACAGCCAGACTGTCTGACTCTGTAGAGGGGGATAGTGCATTACACTTGAAATGTCTTGCAGATTGCCTATTCTCTGTCCGTGTCCGAATACCCGTACTAGTGTTCTAAATAGTAGGCATTTTGGGAATGCGAAAATATAATGTTTTATAGTATGTGAAATTTCAAATATTGAGCATGCTTTAAATGTCAGGATGTCATAAAAATGTGGGCTTTTCGTCTAGTAGAATTCGCTGCACACCATTGAAGAGAATCGTCTTTCCAGACCCAGGTGTGTTTGACAACAGCTGATAATCAGATGAGGTGATGCGCTGTACCAAAATGAACGAATGTTGTGTACATAGAATTAGAATGAAAATTGGAATGAATTGGGATACCCATTCTACTCATGCTAATTCTATGGTTGTGTAGTACTACCTTCAGGCCTGAGGGGGCAGTCTTGTGTATTTACCTGTCGCTCCAGGGCCCGCTCCACTCCTTCTCTCCCCAGGGGTTCCTCATGCGGATCATGTTGAGCTTCTCTGACTTGAAGAAGGCCAGCAGGCCCTGGCCCAGACGCACCTTCTTCACGTCCGTCACCGCGTAGGCGTGGCCTTTGACCAGGCCGCAGTCTAGCCGCGCCTCCATGTCCTCCACCGTGGTCGCCTATGAGACCATTAATAGTCAATTCATTAATGAATCATTATTTATGTATTTGTTTATCACATTTCATACACAGAACGCAGCTCAAAGTGCTTGGGTTGTGACAAGGGTTGTGTTTATTAGGGCGTGCGACAGAAAAACATTTTCAAATGTCTTCCGACAGAAAATGAAAATGTGCATTATTGGACAAGTCCAGCTGTTTCAGACAGTTTTTCTGTTCAAATCAAATCATATTTGCCACATGCGCCGAATACAACAGGTGTAGACATTACAGTGAAATGCTTACTTACAAGCCCATAACCAACAATGCAGTTTAAGAAAAAAAAAAAAGAAGCAAATAATTAAAGAGCAGCAGTAAAATAAAATAACAGTAGGGAGGTTATATACAGGGGGTACCGGTACAGAGTTAATGTGCGGGGGCACCGGTTAGTCGAGGTAATATGTACATGTGGGTAGAGTTAAAGTGACTATGCATAAATAATAAACAGAGTAGCAGCAGCGTAAAAGAGGGGGTTGGGGTGGGGGGGGGGGGGGCAATGCAAATAGTCTGGGTAGCCATGATTAGCTGTTCAGGAGTCTTATGGCTTGGGGGTAGAAGCTGTTAAGAAGTATTTTGGACCTAGACTTGGCGCTCCTGTACTGCTTGCCGTGCGGTAGCAGAGAGAACAGTCTATGACTAGGGTGGCTGGAGTCCTTGGTAATTTTAAGGGCCTTCCTCTGACACCGCCTGGTATAGGAGGTCCTGGATGGCAGGAAGCTTGGCCCCTGTGATGTACTGGGCCGTACGCACTACCCTCTGTAGTGCCTTGCGGTCGGAGGCAGAGCAGTTGCCATACCAGGCGTTGATGCAACCAGTCAGGATGCTCTCGATGGTGTGGCTGTAGAACCTTTTGAGGATCTGAGGACCCATGCCAAATATTGTCAGTCTCCTGAGGGGGACTGTTTTATGCCTAATGAATAAAGCCCGGTGAAGTTGAACTGAGGGTTGGTTTGTTTGAATTGAACTTGCACCGTAGTCGGCCGGTGCTGTCCCTGTGCTATTTGATCATTAAATTTTTAGTCATTTAGCAGACGCTCTTATCCAGAGCGACTTACAGTTAGTGAGTGCATACATTTTTCATACACAGAACGCAGCTCAAAGATCATCAAAGTATAATTGAGCAAAAGGCCCTGAGTAATGAGCCTGTTTCACAAACAGTGTGACGCAACGACAGCGAGGGAACAACTACTAAGGAGGGAGAAGGAAAAAGAGAGGAGAGAGAGAAGACAGGAAGGAAATTAGGGAAAGCAGGGTCGTATTCATAAGTGCACACCGTAGCAAAACATTTTGCAACGGAAAACAAAAAAAACTAACGTTTCTTATTGGACGAGGTCTGGTCTGGTAGTCCCTCCCCATTTAAGTACATTTTCTTCCATTTGGTGCCTAATGAATACGACCCTGGGGACTCGTAAGCTGCACTAAGAAAAGCAACTGAAACACATTTGTTTGGAACGGCATAGTTCTTCCATTGAAATGCATGTCAAATTAGTATTTTACAAATCTAGGTAGTAAATTATTTTATTGGGCACCAATATTGATAATTTGATATGATATTGATATTGTTTCATATCTCTATAAGCAAGGCATATTTTGACTTTGGTTTATTCTTCCTGTTACCCTACACTATTATGTAAAAAAATATACATGACTGTTCATGCAGGCACAAAACCCTCTCACAGACTTTTTCACCAGTTCTCAACTTAAAGACGTCCTCTAGCGATTTTTACTACATTTACTGTTGAAAGCGATATCCCAAGTATAAATACAGTGAAGTACACTAAAGGGTAAAAAATATTTTTGGGATCAAAATAGTGTTTTTTATTCACAACTGCAAACTTCAAGGAGTAGGGCATTCAAGGAGTTGGTCTGATGGGAATCCGTGATGTCATCGGCCTCCTCCCTTGCTTTAGGAACAATAGAGGAATAATAGAGAACAAAAGAGGAAAGGCCCACCCCCACACTTGTGCCATGTCATGACTTACCTGGAATACCTTTTGAGATGTGCCTTTTATTAAGTAAAGGTGTTAAATGAGGTCAGGTGTTAAAGAAGGTAGAAATGAGACTGGAGTGTCACTTTAAGCATACTTAATTGCCTGCTGATGGGCCATCAACTGTAGATATGTATGGTCTGGCAACCTTCCCATTGTAGGTTGCCAGAACATACATACAGTGGGGGAAAAAAGTATTTAGTCAGCCACCAATTGTGCAAGTACTCCCACTTAAAAAGATGAGAGAGGCCTGTAATTTTCATCATAGGTACACGTCAACTATGACAGACAAATTGAGAAAAAAAAATCCAGAAAATCACATTGTAGGATTTTTAATGAATTTATTTGCAAATTATGGTGGAAAATAAGTATTTGGTCAATAACAAAAGTTTCTCAATACTTTGTTATATACCCTTTGTTGGCAATGACACAGGTCAAACGCTTTCTGTAAGTCTTCACAAGGATTTCACACACTGTTGCTGGTATTTTGGCCCATTGCTCCATGCAGATCTCCTCTAGAGCAGTGATGTTTTTTCAAACCTACCATTAAAATTATAGACTGATCATGTCTTTGTCATTGGGCAAACGTACAAAATCAGCAGGGGATCAAATACTTTTTTCCCTCACTGTATGTAAAGATTTCAGAGCAAATGAAACTGATATGTAGTAACTTTTATTTATTTATTTATTTTACCTTTATTTAACTAGGCAAGTCAGTTAAGAACAAATTCTTATTTACAATGACGGCCTACACCGGCCAAACCCGGACGATGCTGGGCCAATTGTGCGCCGCCCTATGGGACTCCCAATCACGGCCGGTTGTGATACAGCCTGGAATCGAACCAGGGGATCTGTAGTGACGCTTCAAGCACTGAGATGCAGTGCCTTAGACCGCTGCGCCACTCGAGAGCCCACACTCGGGAGTAATGATACAGTAACTATCTTTGATGGCCAATGACATTGTTGTGAATTGTGAAACAGGCTGTTCATAAATTCTGAGCGTTATCATGTTCTTCAATCAATTCAGCGCATTTCAGCAGTAAGCTATATCAACACAGAGCACGCTCTGGACTCACAGAGCGCACCATGAGTATAGCGTTGTCGAATCATACAAACTTTGTAATGGCATTCAAACAAAAGTCAACTGACAAAAGTTGCTAAGCTTCCTAGATCACCTCCAACTAATTACATAATACAGTGCCTTGCAAAAGTATTCATCCGCCTTGGCGTTTTTCCTATTTTGTTGCATTACAACCTGTAATTTAAATGGATTTTTATTTGGATTTCATGTAATGGACATACACAAAACAGTTCAAATTGGTGATGTGGAATGAAAAAAATAACTTGTTTCAGTGGTGCGTGCATATGTATTCACCCCCTTTGCTATGAAGCCCCTAAATAAGATCTGGTGCAACCAGTTACCTTCAGAAGTCACATAATTAGTTAAATAAAGTCCACCTGTGTGCAACCTAAGTGTCACATGATCTGTCACATGATCTCAGTATATATACACCTGTTCTGAAAGGCCCCAGAGTCTGCAACACCACTAAGCAAGGGTCACCACCAAGCTAGCGGCACCATGAAGACCAAGGAGCTCTCCAAACAGGTCAGGGACAAAGTTGTGGAGAAGTACAGATCAGGCTTGGGTTATAAAAAAATACTTTGAACATCCCACGGAGCACCATTTAAATCCATTATTAAAAAATGGAAAGAATATGGCACCACAACAAACCTGCCAAGAGAGGGCCGCCCACCAAAACTCACGGACAAGGCAAGGAGGGCATTAATCAGAGAGGCAACAAAGAGACCAAAGATAACCCTGATGGAGCTGCAAAGCTCCACAGCGGAGATTGGAGTATCTGTCCATTGGACCACTTTAAGCCGTACACTCCACAGAGCTGGGCTTTACGGAAGAGTGGCCAGAAAAAAGCCATTGCTTAAAGAAAAAAATAAGCAAACACGTTTGGTGTTCACCAAAAGCCATGTGGGAGACTCCCCAAACATATGGAAGAAGGTACTCTGGACAGATGAGACTAAAATTGAGCTTTTCAGCCATCAAGGAAAACACTATGTCTGGCGCAAACCCAACACCTCTCATCACCCCGAGAACACCATGTTTTTCATTGGCAGGGACTGGGAAACTGGTCAGAATTGAAGGAATGATGGATGGCGCTAAATACAGGGACATTCTTGAGGGAAACCTGTTTCAGTCTTCCAGAGATTTGAGACTGGGACGGAGGTTCACCTTCCAGCAGGACAATGACCCTAAGCATACTGCTAAAGCAACTCTCGAGTGGTTTAAGGGGAAACATTTAAATGTCTTGGAATGGCCTAGTCAAAGCCTAGACCTCAATCCAATTGAGAATATGTGGTATGACTTAAAGACTGCTGTACACCAGCGGAACCCATCCAACTTGAAGGAGCTGGAGCAGTTTTGCCTTGAAGAATGGGCAAAAATCCCAGTGGCTAGATGTGCCAAGCTTATAGAGACATACCCCAAGAGACTTGCAGCTGTAATTGCTGCAAAAGGTGTCTCTACAAAGTATTGACTTTGGGGGGGTGAATAGTTATGCACGCTCAAGTTCTGTTTTTTTTGGTCTTATTTCTTGTTTGTTCACAAGAAAAACTATTTTGCATCTTCAAAGTGGTAGGCATGTTGTGTAAATCAAATGATACAAGCCCCCCAAAAATCAATTTTAATTCCAGGTTGTAAGGCAACAAAATAGGAAAAATGCCAAGATGGGTGAATACTTTCGCAAGCCACTGTATTTCCTATATTTGGCAACATTAAGTTGATCATTATACAGATAGCAGATCAGCTCATGAATAACGGGGAGATGAAGAGTGGAATTTGTGGAAATAGTTTAAATATCAAGGTATCTTAATGGGGACTAACTCTGTTTTAAAAATATCCATATCTACTCTCATACCGTTTGTTGATCACACATTCTCTGTTTGGATAATTAGCTATTGAATTGTTTGCTTATCTGATGCTGCGCATGTTGTTTATTTTGTGGAATTGTATTAGTTCGACATTGTGGAAATTGTTTGTAATTTCCCAAGTGTTGTCATTTTATTTTTTCTGGAAATTTCAAGAATGTTCCCGGGACAGTCCCGGGATCCCGAATACTCATGTTAATCCATAATTCGGACTTTAACCCTACCCCTAGGTGTTCATTAGATTTTAAGGTTGTTCTTTTCTACACATTTCCCGATTGGGACAATAAAGAGTATACGCACTCATACTCCTGTAGCTCAGTTGGTAGAGCATGGCGCTTGCAACGCCAGGGTTGTGGGTTCGATTCCCACGGGAGGCCAGTATGGAAAATGTATGCACTCACTAACTGTAAGTCGCTCTGGATAAGAGCGTCTACTAAATGACTAAAATGTAAATGTAAATACAAATTAAAGTCTCATCAGCAAAGAGGAAGTATTGGATGTTTAGATGGATAGATAGATGGATCATTTTCCTCTTGCAAAGATACACTAACCGTAACTTTTTAAATAGACGGGATGGCACATTATAATGACTATTGCCAAACACTGCAAATGCAAAAAAAAAAAATTGTTCAAAATTGCAGGGCCTTATTAAGCCACAACGCAGCAACCCGTTTTGCAACGGAAAACAAAAAGTACAGGTACTGTAGTACCTCCCCGTTTCAAAGCATTTTCTTAACGTTTTGTACTGAACATGACCGAGATCTCCTAACTCCCCCTCACCATGATCCAAAATGGCTGCCTAGTCCTGATCTTCCGGTTTCCACTAGCTTCTATTGCCACAAAGTCAGATTCCACAGCCACAAAATCAATATTGGCATAAAATTGTTTTGCTTTTTGGTCTTAATTTAAGAAGGTTAGCAGTATGGTTAAGGTTAGGGTTAAGGTTAGGTTTGAAATCAAATTTTAAGAAGATACATTTTAGAAATGGGCAGGGTTTATGACTTTGTGGGTATCAAAGCTAGTGACAACCAGATCTTCCCCGACTGACTCACGCGGATGGAGCAGCTGATGAGGCCATCCCGGTTGTGGACCTTCAGCACCCTCTCAAACAGCTGGTTGCGGGCCACCTCGTCCGTGGCCATCTGGCTCTCCAGCAGGTCCATGGGCTCCGACACACCCCCTGTGAAGTCCACCAGGGCATCCGCCGTGTTCCCGCCGTCCAGGGCCTCGTAGCAGCCGTACACTCTGCAGGGACAGGAGGAGGGAGAGGAGGGATTTCATGAATTAAAATACACTGAACAAAAATATAAACGCAACAAAGATTTTGCTGAGTTACAGTTCATATAAGGAAATCAGTCAATTTAAATAAATTCATTAGGACCTAATCTATGGATTTCACATGACTGAGAATACAGATATGCATCTGTTGATCACAGATACCGTAAAAAAAAAAAGTAGGGGCGTGGATCAGAAAAACAGTCAGTATCTGGTGTGAGCACCATTTGCCTCATGCAGCGTGACATCTCCTTTGCATAGTTGATCAGGCTGTTGATTATGGCCTGTGGAATGTTGTCCCACTCATCTTCAATGGCTGTGCAAGGTTGCTGGATATTGGCGGGAACTGGAACACGCTGTCGATCCAGAGCATCCCAAACAAGTTCAATGGGTGACATGTCTGGTGAGTATTCAGGCCATGGAAGAACTGGGACATTTTCAGCTTCCAGGAATTGTGTACAGATCCTTGCGACATGGGGCCATTTTATCATGCTGAAAAATGAGGTGATGGCGGCGGATGAATGGAACAACAATGGGCCTCAGGATTTCGTCACAGTATCTCTGTGCATTCAAATTGCCATAGATAAAATGCAATTGTGTTCGTTGTCCATAGCTTATGCCTGCCCATACCATAACCCCACCGCCACCATGGGGCACTCTGTTCACAACATTGACATCAGCAAACCGCTTGCCCACATGACGCCATACACGCTGTCTGCCATCTGCCCTGTACAGTTGAAACCGGGATTCATCCGTGAAGAGCACACTTCTCCAGCGTGCCAGTGGCCATCGAAGGTGAGCATTTGCCCACTGAAGTTGGTTACGATGCCAAATTGCAGTCAGGTCAAGACCCTGGTGAGGACGACGAGCACGCAGATGAGCTTCCCTGAGACGGTTTCTGACAGTTTGTGCAGAAATTCTTAGGTTGTGCAAACCCACAGTTTCATCAGCTGTCCGGGTGGCTGGTCTCAGACGATCCCGCAGGTGAAGAAGCCGGATATGGAGGTCCTGGGGTGGCATGGTTACACGTGGTCTGCGGTTGGACATACTGCCATATTCTCTAAAACGACAAATGGAGGCGGTTTATGGTAGAGTAATTAATATTAAATTATCTGGCAACAGCTCTGGTGGATATTCCTACAGTCAGGATGCTAATTGCACACTCCCTCAAAACTTGAGACATCTGTGGCATTGTGTCTCAAAACTGCACATTTTAAAGTGGCCTTTTATTGTCTCCAGCACAAGGTGCACCTGTGTAATCATCATGCTGTTTAATCAGCTTCTTGATATGCCACACCTGTCAGGTGGATGGATTATCAAGGCAAAGGAGAAATGCTCACTAACAGGGATGTAAACAAATTTGTGCACAACATTTTAGAGAAATACGTTTCTGTGCATATGGAACATTTCTGGGATCTTTCATTTCTGCTCATGAAACTTGGGACCAACACTTTACATGTTGCGTTTATATTTTTGTTCAGTATAATAATAACAATATACGCCATTTAGCAGAAGCTTTTATCCAAAGCGACTTACAGTCATGCTTGCATACATTTTACGTATGGGTGGCCCTAGGAATCGAACCCACAATCGAAACCCACAATCCTAGCGTTGCAAGGGCCATGCTCTTCATCTGAAGTCAAATATCCTTCTATCAATGCTGTCTACAATGCACAGTTGACATCTGGATGACTACAGAGCCATATTCTTACACAGGCAGTCCCATTCTGATCTTCTGCCCATTTATTGGCAAAAGAGCTGCTCTGATTGGGCAATAGACCAATTAGTGGAAAAAGATCAGAATTGGGCTGCCAGTGTAAATGCAGCCTTAGTTGACTTCAAATCTTAATATGTGACACCAAAATCTCAGTCAAAATATTGATAGAAGTACATCATATATTATTAAGTCTTATTATAAGACATTACAAATGTTCATACATGCTTATAACATGTTATAAAGCATCATACCTACAGGCTTTAAGTAAAGTGTTACCAATTGGAAATATTTATTAGAGTGAGTGAGTGCGTCTTCGTTCTAAAGATCTTTTCAGCATTCCTCAAATATTGGGAGACCTAAACATAGCATTAGATATTTTATTAGATGACATTCCCCCAGGACTGCTACACTACTCTCTCTTTATCCCTGTCCCGTAGGTGTTCATTTGATTTTAATGTTGTTGTTTTTAACCCTGACTTTACTACACATTCCCCAATTGGGACAATAAATAGATTGATGGACGGATGGATTGAATAATACATTTTTCACCAATACTGTACTACACATTTTCTAATTTTGACAATAAAGCCATTTACTGATTGATTGATTAATTGACTAACTTGGCATAGGCCTTCTCCACCAGTGCGCTCCAGAACTCGTTACTGTCGTCTGAGTGGCAGTAGACCAGCTGGTTGTCCACCGTGGGCAGCCGGTCGTCGATCACCACGTCCACCCACTCGCCAAAGCGCCAGAAGCGGAAGTGGAAGATCCCGGCATATGACTCGGGCGTCTCTGTGTCCCACTCCTGCTCCTTCCAATCTGGGATGACCTGAAGGGAGGGTGGGAGTGGAGGAGGTCGGAGGAGGAGGGGGTGGAGGAATAGGAGGTTGGGAAAGAGGGAGGGAAAGGGTGGGCAAAGGGAGGAGTGGGTGGAGAGGATTAGAGGGTGTGGGAAGGTAGGAGAGGGAAAAGACGGGTGGAAGGGGGAGTGGGAGAGGGAGGAGAGGGGTGAAGGGGGGAGTGGGGAGAGGGAGGAGAGGGGTGAAGGGGGGAGTGGGAGAGGGAGAAGGAGGAGAGAGGTGAAGGGTGTGGGAAGGTAGGAGAGGGAGGAGAGGGGTGGAGGGTGTGGGAAGGTAGGAGAGGGAGGAGAGGGGTGGAGGGTGTGGGAAGGTAGGAGAGGGAGGAGAGGGGTGGAGGGTGTGGGAAGGTAGGAGAGGGAGGAGAGGGGTGGAGGGTGTGGGAAGGTAGGAGAGATGGAGATGGGTGGAAGGGGGAGTGGGAGAGTGAGCAGAGGGGTGAAGGGGGGAGTGGGAGAGGGAGGAGAGGGGTGAAGGGGGGAGTAGGAAAGGGAGGAGAGGGGTGGAGGGTGTGGGAAGGTAGAAGAGGGAGGAGAGGGGTGGAGGGTGTGGAAATGCAGGACGAGTAGAGGGAGGAAAGGGAGGAAAAAGAGAGTGTTGGGAATAGTATGCAAGCCGAACAAACAAGTTGTGTGTTGGCCGAACTCGTAAATTCCACACCCTCTTGTGAGTGAGGCTGTCATCCCTGCTGCAGCATACCTCTTGCCCCCACCTTGTCCCCTCCTGGCCGGCCAATGCGTTCCGGAGGATTAGGGGAACATTTAATGTAATTTATCACCTGGGCTCTGGCTAGCATAATTCCAGAGGGAGAACAGGCGGAACAGGACACAGGGATGGGGAATGATTCGAGCTGCATGGAATTACCTGCCAGTCATCCCCTTCCCGGTGGCTCCCCCTCGGACTGCGGTGGGGTGTGGGGAACAAACAAGGTCACACTTAAGGCGTCCGCATGCTTCCCATCCGAAACAGTTCAGAAAAGTTTGTGCATATATCATGATGACATTTGGTGACGTTTTTGTTATTTTTGGTCTTTGGCAAGGGTTTTTTCGGCTGTTAGTGCACACAAAACATTTTCTGGAGGCAAGCCGAAGTTCGGAGCCGTAGTCTACGCCCCTTCGACGGACATTGGTCAACAGCAGGGATTCTTCAATTAAGTGTTTGATGTCATTCAACGATAGGCGAATCGTTTTCACTTGGAATATATTGCACCAAACACATTATTTTTTAAAATATTTGTCTTTCTCTTTAAACGTTTGTATTTGTTTAATATATTTTTTAGGGGGTAGATCAGCTTTAATATTGCAGATAGATTGTAACTTCCATCAATGTAATTGTCTGCATCACTTTCAATCCCCCATATGTTTTTTGTCCCTCAAATATATACAGTGGGGAAAAAAACTATTTAGTCAGCCACCAATTGTGCAAGTTCTCCCACTTAAAAAGTTGAGAGAGGCCTGTAATTTTCACATCAACTATGACAGACAAAATGAGAAAAAAAAATCCAGAAAATCACATTGTAGGATTTTTAATGAATTTATTTGCAAATTATGGTGGAAAATAAGTATTTGGTCAATAACAAAAGTTTCTCAATACTTTGTTATATACCCTTTGTTGGCAATGACACAGGTCAAACGTTTTCTGTAAGTCTTCACAAGGTTTTCACACACTGTTGCTGGTATTTTGGCCCATTCCTCCATGCAGATCTCCTCTAGAGCAGTGATGTTTTGGGGCTGTCGCTGGGCAACACGGACTTTCAACTCCCTCCAAAGATTTTCTATGGGGTTGAGATCTGGAGACTGGCTAGGCCACTCCAGGACCTTGAAATGCTTCTTACGAAGCCACTCCTTCGTTGCCCAGGCGGTGTGTTTGGGATCATTGTCATGCTGAAAGACCCAGCCACGTTTCATCTTCAATGCCCTTGCTGATGGAAGGAGGTTTTCACTCAAAATCTCACGATACATGGCCCCATTCATTCTTTCCTTTACACGGATCAGTCATCCTGGTCCCTTTGCAGAAAAACAGCCACAAAGCATGATGTTTCCACCCCCATGCTTCACAGTAGGTATGGTGTTCTTTGGATGCAACTCAGCATTCTTTGTCCTCCAAACACGACGAGTTGAGTTTTTACCAAAAAGTTCTATTTTGGTTTCATCTGACCATATGACATTCTCCCAATCCTCTTCTGGATCATCCAAATGCACTCTAGCAAACTTCAGACGGGCCTGGACATGTACTGGCTTAAGCAGGGGGACACGTCTGGCACTGCAGGATTTGAGTCCCTGGCGGCGTAGTGTGTTACTGATGGTAGGCTTTG